CGTCAAAGGGACTAAAGGCCTGTGAATTTTAAATAGAACCTGCCTGTGACCCTGACAGCGCACGCTCGGCTTCATGACGCCCTCCGGCGTCTACACCAAGAACATGCCGAGCAGGCCCCGTTTCAAATGTGATTCCAGCTAGAGCCATAGAACATACGAATTTAAGAGCAGTTGTCTGTAAAAACCAAGCATAAGGTGGCCAAACTCAAAAAATCAAATTCTCTTAAATTTTGTGTGGTGGTAGGGACTTGGTCCAAACTTACAAAAATGGGTAAGTTTTGGTTCGCTGGTTGATGGTTGCCATGGCAACAGCCATTTTTCAAAATGGCGGATTTTTTACCTTGTGGAGGCATAAGTCTTGCCCAAAATGGACCATCTTTTACCTTCCGTATCTCAGAGAAAGTAACACATATCTCATTGCGTGTAACATATTTTATGATCCATATTGTAACTAAGAAAATGATATGAAGTTTTGCTCGAAATGTTTTTGTGGTGAGCTGTAGCAGACGTTTAAAAATGGCGTGTTTTTGTAAAATTTCAAAATTGAGAAAAAGCCATTTTTAGGACGTTTTTAGTGAACCATGGCCGCTTAAAAGGCAGGTAGAATTAGTTGATTTTTGGCACAGTTATGGCTATAACCTTTGTCTACAACATATCAGAAAACATTTTTGGGGTCTCCATGGGGGGGAGTACAGTGACCCCTAGACTAAACCATTATTTCCATTGTGAAAGAATCCCACCGCTGCATTATAAGTGAAAAAGCATCCACAGCATGGCTATACAGTAAAGAAAACGAAATCTAAAGCTTTTTTCAAGTGCTAAGGAAACCTACCTCGCACTTACAAAAAGTTGTTTCCTTCTGGGCTGACAACGGGTTACCATGGCAACAGTTATATGGGGAGGGGGGCGGTGTTTTGAGGCCCACGGCCACTTTCTTGTTGTATAATGTCTGAAAAGTTTAAACTAGAACCACCAAACTTGGTGACTTTTCCTCAAATAAATTTTGCAATGATTTTGATATTCATACTTTCATGTTGCCATGGTCATGTTGCCATGGCAACTGGTTGCTGACAGTCATTTTTGCCAAATTCAGTAATATCACTATAGCAATGAAATTTCCATTTTTTTTTGTTTTAAAATGTTCCCCCTTATCAAACATCCATGACATTCCTGTAAGTCACCTCTTACTACAAGGCATGCGCACAGTTCAACCTACCAACACTCAAGTCACGCCGTGACAAACTGACAATGAACTTCGCTAGATCACTTGAACGATCTAAGCTGCATAGACACTTATTGCCACCTCCAAGAGTTGAAATCAGTGGTAGGACGACCCGCTCATCCCTTAAACTGGACACTGTCTTCTGTAGAACTGAAAGATACCGAACAAGTGCAATCCCTTACATGATACGGATGCTGAATTTGTAGCTGCTCTTTACTTCGTTGCCCTACTTATAACTTAATGCTGCCATCTATTTGTATGTACGTGTACTCAAATGTTATTTAATATTCCCAGAAATTTTATTCAAATGTACATACTAGAATCTACTCGTTGCGCCACACCTAATCATTTTATCCCGATATGCTTTTAACTTAAATGTTCAATGTTTTAACCAACCACTTGTTATCAATTGTTTTTATTCAATGCGCTACCTACATACCTCGATTTTAAATATTATACGTTAGACTGTTTATTTGCGTAAATCTATTAATCAATTGTAAATGTATCACATAATTCAGCCATTGGCTGCGAGGTGTTACTTGAATTTAAAAAAAAACATTATACTATAAGTTTATGTAAATTCTTTGTTTACACATGTATGATTTATGTTAATAAGAGACGTCATTGGACAAGATAGTGGACCATCAGTAACTCGGATATTACGTTTTTTTTCTCTTAAAACGATAAAACTCTCAAAACTTTTTTAAAGCAGAGAAAACGAAACTAAAGCTGTCTGCAAGTGAAGTAAACCCACCTTGCACTAACAAAAGTTCATTCCGTCTGGACTGACAACGGGTTACCATGGTAACAGTTATATGGGGAGGGGGGCGGTGTTTCAATGCCCGAGGCCACTTTCTTATTGTATAATGTCTAGCAATTTTCAGCTAGAACCAACAAACCTGGTGACTTTTCCTTAAATAACTTGGGCAATAATTTCATTTTAAAGATGAAAATCAATATTTTTATGTTGCCAAGGCAACGGGTTGCTGACAAACATATTTTACAAAATTCCGTAATTTCATGCAGTTTAAGAAATGAAATTTCCATTTTTTTCTAGTAAAATTGCACCTCTTATTTGGAATTTATGGCATATGTAATTTCATATAATTTCTATCATTAAACGAATTTTTCTTTCATTTTTGATGCTGCATGAACCCTACTTAAGCTGGAGTCACATGCTCGGCATGTTACCGGTGTAGACGCCGGCCGCATGAAGCCGAGCGTGCGCAGGCTGTCAGGGTCACAATCAAATGTTCCTTTACGGCTCCCTGTCGGGGCGCTAAGACGGCTTCTATTTAAAATTCACAAACTTTTGGTCCTTTTGACGGTTTCTGTTAGGGACCAGTCCGGTGCCCGTTCAGTCTCCCGTCTTGACCCATGCGGGGTGCGGTAGGGTGCCGACCGGCTCTTCCATTCTGGCCGGGCAGCTTTTGGATCCTTGGCGGGGTTCAGGGTTGATCCTTTCGGGTCCCTGGGTGGTAGGCCACTGGTTGGTATGGTACAATTATTGTCCTCCTGGCACCCTTCAATGCTGAACCCGTTGGTAGAGTAGTAAATCAAAAATATCTAGCAAATCTTTCTTTACATTTGATGATGTAGCCTCATCATCAATCACATCAATCACCCTGTGCCTATGTTTTCTGCTTATCCCAGTTCTAGAAATCTACCTTTTTGATTGAAATTCCACATTTTGTCAGGATGTTTGCAACAGCATTATTACCACAGTGGTAACAGACAGCATTGTTCTGCCATAGGGATTCTGTTGGTCTATGTGAATGCTACAACAACATTATATATATATATAGAAATGATAAGTGCCATTTAAAAAAGAAGAGTTACCTTTGGCAACTCTTTGTCAATCCAGCAAGAATCTACTTCCTTTGTCCAAGGTACCTTTCCTTGCCCCATGATTAAAAAAAAATCTTGTGGTTTAGTGTTTTAAGAGGAAAAACTTGTTATATCCGAGTTATAGTCCACCATCTTAGACTTTGATCAATGACGTCATCTAATGAACATAAATTATAAATTTGTAATCATAAAAATTATATGAACTTACAGTAATGTCATGAATGTTTGATAAGAGGAAAAATTTTAAACAAAAAAATGGAAATTTTATTCTTATACTGAAATTGCTGAATTTGGCAAAATATGCCTGTCAGCAACCCGTTGCCATGGCAACATGAAAGTATGAATATCAAATTATTGCAAAATTTATTTGAGGAAAAGTCACCAAGTTTGGTGGTTCTAGTTTAAACTTTTCAGACATTATACAACAAGAAAGTGGCCGTGGGCCTCAAAACACCGCCCCCCTCCCCATATAACTGTTGCCATGATAACCCGTTGTCAGTCCCAGAAGGAAACAACTTTTGTAAGTGCGAGGTAGGTATCCTTAGCACTTGAAAAAAGCTTTAGATTTCGTTTTCTTTACTGTATAGCCATGCTGTGGATGCTTTTTTTCACTTATAATGCAGCGGTTGGGATTCTTTCACAATGGAAATAATGGTTTAGTCTAGGGGTCACTGTACTCCCCCCCATGGAGACCCCAAAAATGTTTTCTGATATGTTGTAGACAAAGGTTATAGCCATAACTGTGCCAAAAATGAACTAATTCTACTTGCCTTTTAAGCGGCCATGGTTCACTAAAAACGTCCTAAAAATGGCTTTTTCTCAATTTTGAAATTTTACAAAAACACGCCATTTTTAAACGTCTGCTACAGCTCACCACAAAAACATTTCGAGCAAAACTTCATATCATTTTCTTAGTTACAATATGGATCATAAAATATGTTACACGCAAGGAGATATGTGTTACTTTCTGTGAGATACGGAAGGTAAAAGATGATCCATTTTGGGCAAGACTTATGCCTCCACAAGGTAAAAATCCGCCATTTTCAAAAATGGCCGTTGCCATGGCAACAAATAACCAGGCGTCCAAAACTTACCCATTTTTGTAAGTTTGGGTCAAGGCCCTACCACCACACAAAGTTTGAGAGAATTTGATTTTTTGAGTTTGGCCACTTTTTTTCTGATTTGCTTGGTTTTTACAGACATCGGCTCTTAATGGTTCCCTTATGCACAACCAGTAATGTCTCACCTTGCTTACGTTACGATGCCTGGGTTATTTTAGGCCGGCCATATCTTATTTGCTTACTTTGACAATGTTTACGCAACTTCCAAATACAGCAAGTATAAAATTACAGTATTGTCTAGTATGTATAAAATCAAGTACTCGTTTGCATAATCTATATCTACCGATGTGCATGAAAATGTGAAGGATTGAATAAGCCTTGAGAAGACAATTAAGCGTTAAGAAAAGCCATAGAAGTGACACAACTGACCATCTTTCCCGGCCACGGCGACTGGACAGTGCAGCACGTGGTTGGAGTAGGACGCGAAGTAGGGCGCCAGTCTCGAATCTAGCTCAAACGAGTGGATAGTGTAGTCTCTTCCATCAGGGTAGGTCTCCCTAAATAACTGTACGGAACAATAAGTGGGATACAATCCCTGCTACAAGACTGTGTGTAAACAGGTACTCGTTCCCTTAAAACAATTTTTGGAGCAAGTATAGGATCCCCGGTAACCAAAAAGGATGGCATTCAGGCTTCTTCGTTATTAAATTATGTTTCAAAGAATAGCTTTACAGAATTAAATATCTTGTGTGAAATATTAAGTCCAGGCATCTGATCTTTTTTACCAGTTACCGTCTTTAAACTGTTTTGTCTAGGATTTTGAATGGGATATTGGTACATATTTGAGACATTTCGATTAAAAATATATCATGGTACACGAATTACACATCATTCTGTATGGATAGATCTAGTACAGGCTATAAG